ATAGATGTGTTCTTAATGTGTACTGTTTTTTTGCGTGTTTTATGTCAATTTAAATCCCCAGTAACAGTGTCAAAAAATTGACCCATTTCGAAATTAGATAGTAATTTAGCTTCTAAAATATGGACAAAAATTTGACCAATTTATATTTAGCGATTAAAATCAAAATGTTATAAAATATATAAAATAGTTCACACACTATTGGTTCTATGCAAGTGCATGTATCGCTTCAAGTAATATAGGGCTTTCTTTAAAAACACACTATTGATCCTACAGAGAAACGCAATAAGAAATCCCTTAGTCTACTACTATCAAGTCTTAATTTGGAAGATGAAAATTCTTTTGATAATAACATAAATCAAAATATTCAAACAAAAAAAAAAATTAAAGTAAGAAAGACAAGTTAAAATGAGTTTAATGAATGCTAACAGAAATGTAACTAAAATAAATAAGTTTTAAAATGTAACTAAAATAAATAAGTTTACTAAACTAATTTCTAAACTTCAAAGTTAAAGTTAGTAAGAATAAATAAAGTTTTGTGATGAAAAGTTCAAATTTAAGAAAACATCATTCCCCTTTACAATGAGTACATGGTTAGTGAAATAACTAAAATCATTTAAAATTACATATAAAAATATATTGTGTCAAATCGAAGCAATCCTATTCTTTACCCTCTCTCAAGTATATAAAAAATATTGATTAACCTAGAGTTTGGTCCCTAATTCCGTGGTTAGGTTAGGAGGATACCAACTCTCACTCCAGAGCTCCCACTTTTCTCTCACCTGATGACTAACAATCTTGCATTAGTTTCCAATCAATTGGACCAAATTGGGGATTTTAATATGTTACTTAAAATCTCCAATTTTGCATCCAATAAAGTATATTTTTCTATTTATTTGCACTCAACCCATGTATTACATTCTCAATCATGAAATTGAATGTGACTCTTACCTTATTGTAGAAAGCATAGCCCTTTCGGATCTTATATTTCTCAACAAATTTTAACCTTTCAATTGAACAAATCGAAAAGTAAATGAAAATCAAAATTCAAATCATCACAAATGATTGATATTTAAAACCGTATAAAACAAAATCAATTCTTCACAAAACCAAATCTCATTGTAGGGAGAAGGATAAAAAGACTACTTAGAATTCATGAGAAGGATACAAAAAAATATGGATTTCATTTATAAAAACAAGTTTACAAAATACAAGTTTACAAAATAAAGAAAGAAAAGAACACAACTTAGCTTACACTCATTCCCAAGTAAATCCGTAGAAATTTCCTTTAAGCACTTTCTCTCTTTACAATCACACTCAATTCCCCCCTAGAAATGTAATAAAGAAGAAATCTCCCACCTTTCCTCTCCTCTTACAATCCTAAAAGAAAATCCTCTTCTCTTCAAAACCTTCCTCTCACTCTCACACCATACTAATGCCCTAGACTCCTCTCCTTTTTAATTAGGGGCTGTCTCCTTTAAAAAAGAATTCAAAATTCCCTCCCAAATTCTCTCAAAAAGTCACACTTTTAAATCCCAAAAGACATGTCCATTCATTCCAGAGACATATCCATTCATTAAAGAGTCTTCCAAAGTGTCTAGATGTATTGAATCATTCCATGGGGCGTTTGAATCATTTGGATCCTTCAAAATCTGCTCAAAATTTGTCCCGAACCACCTTAATCCATCTTATATCTCCCTTCTTATATCGTCTTTGGCACCTCAGGAGCCAGTTGTCTAGATTTTGGTGCCTATGGTGCCTGTTCTCTCGATTCTGGCACCTCTGGCACTAGTTTTGGTGCCTCAGCGGCACCCTACAACAACTCCACCATTTTGCTCTGTTTGGCTCTGTTTCAGCTCTATTTCTCCCCATTTCAGTTGTGTTTCACTCCTAATAGATATAACTACAAAATAAACATGAAAAAAACATTTCTTTAAACTGTAATTTTATTCAAAAATATATGAGAAATGTAAAGTAGATTAAACATAGAATGACAAATCGAAATGTGTCAGGTCAGAATTTTCTTTCTAGCTCGTTTTTACTCCAAATTGCACCATTTTTGCTTCATTTTCTTTAAAAGTCAATTTCTTGTACCTGAAACTAAAAATATGCAAAATACCTTCCTTTAAAGTGTAATATCAATAAAAATCATTAAAATTGAGCATAAAATATATATGATAAGTAATTTTTAGGCGTGTAAGTAGACTAATTAACTTAGGTTCTCTACTTGATTTGACTTGATCTTAAATGATATGACCTCTCATGAGCATTTAAGATGGAATCTCTCTGCTTGTCTTATTCAGTAGAATTTTGCTTATGATACGAAAATAATCATATCCTTACTTTTTTCCCACAAAAAAAAAAAAAAAATCAAAATACCTCCATACTTTATGTGTAAGAAAGATCTCTCTACAAGAAGCAAGAGAGAAATGGTGGTTTGTAAGTGTATTAGAGTTCAAAAGCATGGACACGATGTAAGTATGAGTATGTAAATACATATTACATTAAAGATAAGGTTCCAAGAGACGTCCTTTGGAATGTTCTTGAGAAGAAAGGTGTTGATATGACTTATATTCAAATCATTAAAGATATGTATACTAAAGATGTTACTTGTGTTCGAACTGACGGAGGATTAACCAAATATTTTCCTATTTCTTTTGGATTACATCAGGGATCGGCTTTAAACCCATATCTTTTTTGCTTTAGTTATGGATGGTCTTACTGGACATTTACAGGAGGATGTACTTTGGTGTATGCTTTTTGTTGATGATATCCTTCTTGTAGATAAGACGAGAAAAAACCCAGGAAAAACTTGAATCACAATGGTCTACATTGGAGTCTAAAGGCCTTCATTTAAGTAGAACTAAAACTGAATACATGGAATGTAATTTTAGTAGTAGTAGCTCTAATGACAGAAGCGTAACTTTGGGTGATCAAATTATTAAAAAGTGTGAATGATTTAGATATATCGGGTCTGTTATTCAAAGCGATGATGATATAGATGGGGATGTTAATAGTAAAATTCAATTTGGTTGGTTGAAACAGAGGATAGCTTCAAGCCTTTTGAGTGATAAAAAAGAATCGCTTAGACTGAAAGGAAAATTTTATAAGACAGTGGAGTGACCTACAATGCTCTATGGCGCTGAATGTTGGCCTTTAAAAGAGAAGCATAGTACTACGTTAAGTGTTACCGAGATGGGATTGATTAGGTGGTTGAGTGGATTTACACTTAGAAAAAAAAAGGCGAAATTAATATATCAGTGATAGGGTTGGTGTAGCTCCAGTGATGGACAAAATTAGAGAGAGTCGTCTTAGATGGTTTGTTCACATTAAATGTCAACTATTTGAGGATCTGATTTGGAGAGTAGATGTTTTAGATTCAACTTATGTTAAGAAAGACAAAGGTAGACCTAGGAATACTTGGGGCTTATTGTAAAAAAAATGATATTAATTTATTAGAACTAAATGAAAATATGACACTAAATAGGACGCAATGGAGAAAAAAAGATTCATGTAGCTGATCCCACGTAGTGGGATTAAGGCTTTGTTGTTGTTGTTGTATGTGAATACATATATAGCAATATATGTTCTATATCCTGTCTGTAACTTATCTATATTAAGACAAACATGTATTAAAATACTCAACAACACATAATGTGTCTATGCATTAACATGCTTTATTTCTTTTCAAAGAAGCATTATTATCTGATTTTAGCTTATATTCTCTTGATATATTAAGGGTCTACTTGGGGAAATTACAACTTATTAAAAAGTAGTTGTGAAGCTGTTGAATGATAACCTGATACTCAAAAAGTTACGGTGACTATTACAATTTTTTTTAAAGTCAAACCACAACTAGAAAACTGTCACCGCACCTAGATAGAAGTGGTGTGAAAGCACAGATTTCAGCGACAATTTTTTGAAAAAATTGTCAAACCGCAGTTTACCCAAACAGACAAAGCTACGATGCAGTGACGCACCGCCACCATATCGCCGCCTCAAACAAACCCTATGTTAGATTGTAATTAATATTATTTTATTATCAATATCCTAAATCAATATTATTTTATTCTCAATATCCTAAATCAATATTATAATACCATACAAATAATGTATAATCTATAGACCTTGAAATCATAAGTTGAGTTTAAAGAAAACTTACTTATACCTCCCATAATATTCCATGGTTTAAACTTAGGAGCTTCTATAACTATTAGCTAGAGTCCTTTTACAAAAAATCCCATGAGATAAGAGAATTTAGGGTCTATTTGGGGCAGCTACAACTTATTAAAAAACAGCTGTGAAGCTGCTGAAAAGTAATCTGATGTTCAAAAAGCTGCGGTGGCTATTATAATTTTTTTTTTTAAATAATCACAGCTAGAAAGCTGCCATCACACTTATCTAGGACCGGTGAGAGAACATAAATTTCAGTGATAGCTTTTTGAAAAAGATGTCAAAACGCAGTTTGCAGTACAATGAATCATGTTTATCATGATTGAGGATAACAAAATTTATTAAAAAACACTCAAGCTTCCATGTATCATCTAGTATAGGTTACTTCATAAAACATTTCTAATTCTAGGTGTTCTTTTTAATCCTTTATCACCTTATGTTATTCTCCCATATCCTATAATTTTTAATCTTTTCAATAAGATTTCTTCATGCATTGTTTATTGTATCATATTCAATCATAAATAATCAACAAATATTATCATTAGCTTTCAGGGATAATGAATGGAGAAAACTAACATTATAGTATTTTATCATATCCTGAGCACATATGCTTTGCAATTTTTAAAACAAAAAAGGATTTGTGAAGAAGGCCAAGGAGCTCCTATGATTGAATTTTGCTAAGTATTTGTGGTAACTTATGAGACTATTAAGATTAAACAAATATATAAATTTTGATCTGATGAAAAATTTAAATTATGTTTTCTTAAGAAAAAAATAAAAGATAAATTTTTATATTTTCTATCATCAAGGGGCATGCAAAGTAAAATTTTTCAACCTAAATGGCGACATAAAAATTCTGCACTCACCGACCATAATAAGCCAAATCCTGCTGCAAATAACCCAAGTTCCTATAGGGTCATCAGCTATTTCCCACCTCAATGATGGCGAGAACGCCGGCCGACGCTCACAGCTCCACCACCGCCGTCCAGGCAACAAATGACGATGCGACCGCTAGTAAATTGTATGCTTCTTATGGTTTTTTATTCTCTCATTCATGATTTTCTGGAATTAGATCAAAATCAAATGAGAATACCTAGACCGATACGTAGGATTTTTGAACTCCAATTTATTCCTTGTTATTGCGGGTAGTTACATTTTTTTTTGGCGCATTCAGAAGTAATTCACGAGGTCTTCAATTATGGACGTCTTGGACTGAATTCTCCAGTTTTTTAAGGAATTTATAATTGACGTTTCCGCAAATGCTCAAAAACTTCCTTTTTAACTGTGAAGGTTGACAGTGTTTCATAAAATCCATTAGGAGACTTTATAGAAGGTTTTGAGAAAAATCATGGTTTAATTTTAGTATTTTATGGATAAATTTTGCGTAAATTTACCAGATGTATATTTAGTGAAGGAAAGCCTATCTGGCTGTGGACTATGGATGAGAGTCTTTTTCTCATTAAACTATGGGGCAATCGTACATAATTCTTAGGGCTTGATAATTTGTGATGAGGTCAATATGGAGTGAGGAAAGTTCGAAACTTTGAAGGTTGTACCTAAGAGAAGTAGCGGAAATGAAAGTTTCTGGCATAATATTTGTTTATTAAATTATCGATTAGAGATTTAATATTATGGTGAAAAAATTATTTGACTGTTTGTTCAATGTTGATAGCCTAACGTAACTACTGAAAACAGGCCTTGGCTTGATGATTTTTTGTTCTTTTTTAATATGGTGAACCACACAGATCCCCTATTTCTGTGAATTCTCGCGTCGTGCCCATTTAACAGGAAATGTCTTGATAATGGAAGTAATTTGTGCATTTTGAAGATCTATGGTATCTTTCTTTGCTAATGTAAAGCAGAGACAATTATCTACTCTAGAGTTTGCAGTGTTCATTCATTTTATTCTTTAGTGTGGCCTTAATCTGCTCATCCATTTTCTTAAACAATTGCACTGTTTATTGTTCAATAGAGAAATGTACCCTTATATTTTGTTCCATTCTATAATTTATGTACAGGTCCTGTGTTAAAAAAGGATACGTAAAGGATGATTTTGTTCATTTTTTCGTTAGAAGGCCTGTTAGGAGATCACCAATAATAAATCGTGGTATGAATTAATTTCTGTTGTCACCTAAAACAAAGCATTTCTACTCCTGAACATCCTGATTCTTACCCCATTTGTTACTCTAATGATTTGCAAAGGGTATTTTGCACGCTGGGCTGTTCTTCGGAAACTTCTTCAGCAGTTTTTAGAGATTAAGGACTATTCAAGTGAAAGAAATCTCATGAAGAAACAGATATTGTCTCTTGGAGCTGGCTTTGATACAACTTATTTCCAGTTGGTGGTAAGCAAAGATGCCATCTTATGTAGTCTATATCCATGTAACTCTAATATCATAGTTTTACTTCTTTTTCTCCACATATTATGCTATTAATGTAGAAAAATCTAAAATATTCTCACTTCTAACCATATTCCTTATTCTCCTCCTGAAAATTGAAAACGTTGCTAAAGTTTATGTATTGATATACTGAATTTTTTACTTACTTATCATGTTTCCAGCAGATGAACTTTTGTATTTTTGATCTTGACTTTTTCTTTTCTCTAGGAAGAGGGAATTGCGCCACATCAATATGTGGAGCTGGATTTTAAAGAGGTTTGATATTTGAAATATTCATATGCTAACTCCAATTATTTTCCAATAATAGTAGTTACTTTCAATTCCAATAATTCTGATTTGTTGATTGACCCATTTGTATTGCTTCCAGGTGACGAGTAAGAAAGCAGCCCTCATAGAGCACCATAGTCAGTTGAAGGATAAGGTTGGAGATGAAGCTTATATTTGTAAAGGTAATGGATTCTTACCCTATTAGATTTTTATACATTTTTGGTTCTCTATCATCACTGGCTTGCCTAATTTTGCATATATTTTAAATGCTTAATACAAAAATGCTTCCACCTTTTTGCATGTTTGGGCATGCACATTTTCTTTCTGGCTCAGCTTATGACATTTATTTTTACCTCTAATTAGTGCATGACAATATTGTAAGTTTTGTATGTCATGGGGTTATTTTTATTTCCCTTTGATTTTTTGTTCTAAAAAGTTATCTTTTCACTTGCTGAAGGCCTTTTCATTCTGCAACCTGTGCATTTAAAATAGCATCACAAGCATGCTAGCATTTATGTGATGGCAATATTTGCAGCATTTCCCTGAAAGTAATTTGAGTTAACACTGAAATAGTTTCACCACTTTTTCAGAAAGAGGTGAAGTTTTAGGTGAACATTATAAACTCCTCCCTATTGATTTGCGTGATATAAATCAATTGGATATGATGATGGATCTTGCTCAATTGGATTGTAGGTATGTTCTACATATTTTCTCTATTTCAAGTCGATACGTTTTTTATGTTGGTCTTATTAAACAGTCTATATTTGTTTTAAACATTTGTCATAGTGGCAGTGAAATTTTATTTTCTTATAGTTTTATAATCAACTAAACCTAATTTATGGGAATTGATGGAATTGTTTTTTTGTTCCATATCTTCTTATTCTTTATTTTCATAATATGCAGTGCAATAATTTAAAATGGATGTGGCTTGCATTTGAAGGAGAATGTGACAAGTATTGTAATTTTAATTGCAACTGACACATGATGTCTTGGGGAATGGGATTTTAGTGTAACCAAATAATGCAATGTATGAAGCTAAATAAATTAGTTTTAGCATATCACTGTTTCAAAGAACATCAATTAAGACAAATACTAGTTTTTTTTTTTTTCCCGCGTAGACTTAGAAATGTTAGAAATTCAAACTAAATGATTATTTAATGATTACTCAGATAAAGAAATTCAAATAAAATTAAATTACTACCAAAACCCAGACATCGTTTAAGGCTCGCTTTACCCAAAAAAAAAAAAAATCTTTTGTAATGAAGTGGACTAGAATTAATGCACTTAGAAAACAATATCTAAATAGTTTCACTTGGACAAATTTTGAAGGAATTAGAGTTCAATCAACCATAAAAAAAATTGGATAGAATAGAAAATTAATATTTAGAGAATATTATTGTTCGTCTTAAAATCTACTATTTATAAACATCGAAACCATAGAGCTAGTTGTCTATAATTTTTTTTAAAGTGGCTTTAATGTTATGCTATGTTTTTAGATAGGAGATTGACATGAATACAATCTACTAAATATGGAGTGATTATCGCAGAATCAATAGTATTGAATCAACGACAAAGTACTCAATATCATAAACTCGTGAATCTTATCTTAACTTGAATCTTGATCTCCACAGTATGGATATGCATAAGAAAGGCATATCATGTTAGGAAATAGATGAAACTTATGTAAATGCCGAAAGCGGAAAGCCTAAACTGGAAACAAAAAGTGAAGACCAACATACAAAAAACACAACTTTTATTCATGTTTACTTAATTGATGGTTGTCATATTATCATCGTTGTAGATTTCTTTATGATTTATTTATGAAGAAAATACAATTCCACGTTCAACATATGATGACACAACTTCTCATTATAAACAAAAATCCAGAGCAATTGAAAAAGCAAACAAATTTCTAAAGCACTCTTGATGAAATATTGATAAATGTTGGATTCAAGAGCTCTTTGCCAACTTTTAAACCCTTATAGTGACATTACTACGAAGGTCGACCTATGACTAATTTGCATAGTGCATTTTCCTTATTGGAGAAAAGCTTGACCTTACAACTTAACATATAACACTGTAGGTTTGATAGTTCTCGCATTCAAGAGCTACAAGGATCAAAGTCGCATATCATGCGAACTAAGGCTATGTGAATGTTGTTATTGGAACATTGAAGGGATTCCACATCAATCTGTTTGATTTAGAAAGAAAGTATAACTTTAATGAATTAAACTTTTGATATTCATATAGCAATTCTTATTATATGAAATTTGTTTCTTGTAAATCAATCTATTAATCATCCCATAAAGTTATGTTATGCTCGCACACAAGCTTTCCTTGGAATCCATTTTTAGTAGTGGACATAATTTCATCAAACTGTTTAAGGAACAAGGTGTGTAAAATGCTCTGACACAGCATTGGATGTGAATTCACTAGTAAGGGATGATAGATGAGAAGAATCCAATGCACTGACAATTGTTTTTTGAAATAGTGTCAAATCAAACGTCCAAGAATGTACCATTGCAATACCTCATAAGTGATAATCTTAGTGTTTTGCATAATTTTAAATGATCCTGCCATAGAAAAGAAAATTTGGTTAGGAAGTTTTCTTTGTTTATTTCACCATTGAGTATTTAAAATTCAAAATTATCAAGAAAAGAGTTGAAAATTATTACAACAACAACAACAACAACAAAACCATTATCCCACTAAGTGGGTTCGGCTACTTGAATTCCTTTTCTCCACTGTGTCCTATTTTCATTTAATTCTAATAAATTAAAATCATTTTTTATACAATATGCCCAAGTTTTCCTAGGTCTCCCTTTGCCTTTCTTAACCCTTTGCCTTTCTTAACATAAGTTCGAATCTAAAACATCTACTCTTCTAATTGGATCATCAGATGGTCGACGTTTAATGTGACCAAACCATCTAAGGAGACTCTCTCTAATTTTGTCCGTCACTGGAGCGACACCAAACCTATCACGGATAGGGTAGAGGTAGACCACTATTCATTTCTCATTTAGTCTTTATAATAATAAAATGATATCCTCACTTCAATTGGGATATCATCAAGTCTTACAGACTTTCCACCCTTGGTTTTCTTTAATGCATCCTCAACTTTTTTACTAATGCGACGGTAAAAATGAAACATTTTATTATTATAAATAATGTTAAGATCACTAAGGTCGATCGTATTTTTTGAAACTTCATTTAAAAACTTATCAAAATAACTCATCCACCTATTTTGAATATTTTTTTTCTAAGAAAAACATATTCTGATTTTCATCTTTAATACACTTTACTTGAGTTAAATCTTTACTTTTCTTTTGTTTGGCTAGTTTATACATATATTTTTTGCCTTTATTAGTATCTAATCTATTATAAAGATCACTAAAAGCATAATTTTTAGCGTCACAAATTGTTCTCTTAGACTCTCTATGGGCCGTTTGATATTTTTTCCTGTTCTCTAAGCTTTTACATTTCAACCAATTTTTATAACATCTTATATTTCATCTTTTCTTACATATTATTATTCCATCACTAACTATTTTTATTTATTTCTTTTGATTCTTCAAGTACAACTTTTGCCACTTGTTTAATAGGGTTTGTTACTTTATCTCACATAGCTTCTTCATGAACATCCCAAATTTTGAAATCTTGAATTTTACTCATAAATATAATTTTATTTGTGTTTTTTAGATACTCCTATATAATTATATGACGATGATTCCTAGTATTCTTTATTTTACAAATCTTAATTTTAAAATCTAGAATTAATAATCAATGTTGAGTAATTAAATCCTCACTTGAAATGACCTTACAATCTTTACATTATCGACAATCTCTTCTTCTCATAAGAAAATAATCAATTTATGTTTAATTAGATCCATTTTTATAAGTAATATTATGCTTATCTCTTTTCTTGAATAAAGTGTTTACAATAACAAAATCATATGCTAAAGACAAATCTAATGTATCTCTTTCTTCTTCATTAATCACTCCAAAACTGTAGCCACCATGAATATTTCTAAAATCTGCTACTACTCTACCGACATGTCCATTTAAATCTCCTCCAATAAAGATTCTTTCTTCAAGAGATATCATTTGTATTAAGTCTTCTAAGTCATTTCAAACTTTTTCTTTATAACCTATATCTAAATCTACTTGAGGAGCATAAACACTCATAATATTAAAAATCATAATATCAATAGTAATCTTATGGGCTATAATTCTATCTCCAACTCTATTCATTTTTACAACATTATCTTTCAAACTCTTATCTAAAATTAAACCTATACCATTTCTAGTGCGACTCTTACTTGAATACCAAATGTTAAAACCTAAGTTATCAATATCCTTAGTATTTTCTTCAATCCATTTAGTTTCTAGAACATATAAGATATTTATCTTTCTATGAATCATAATATCAACTAATTCCATTCATTTACTTTTGAGAGTACCTATATTCCAAGATTCTAACCTAATATTAGTTTCATGGACTAACTTTTTTACCCTCATCCATCCGTAATGTGGGAACCCTGACTTATTTGACACTACACCCGGGCGCCAGTGTAGCGGCCCTTGCACACTTTTCACTGTATTCAGACCATACAACGCGTAGCTTCTAGGGGACACCCAAACACTTACACAATAATCAAAAGGATTCATGTCATGATTTTTTCGATAAGTTTAATTCTGGTTGTGAACTACCTAACGCAACCCTCCACTTTTCACATCCGGGCTTGGGACCGGCAATGACAGTGCTAAAAATTATTAATCATAAATAATTTAAAAATTAAACTAGTTATCCAAAATTTTCTATCTTGGCTGATGGGAGGAGAGAGCAATCCTCGTCTCTCCCCTTTTCATGTTAAGTACATGAATCTATGGCACTCACCTTCTATATGAAGCACATGAATCTGTAGAAATTGTTTCATGTTATTCAAATGAATCTATGGTACTCTTTCTATGTAAGCATGTACATCTGTTTCACTTTTCCGTTCACGTTAAGCATATGTATTTATGGCATGTATTTTCTTTTATTAGCACTTGAATTTGTGTTTCGTTTCATTTATTATTTAGTAATAATAACATTTTCAACATGCCCCCTTAAATTGGATGGTAAAGATTTACCTTTTCAAACTTTATTGACATATTTTTTAATGTGAGATTGTAAAGTCATTTGATAAATATGTTGACGAGTTTAATTCTCGTTGGAACATTGGTTGTGCAAATTAACCCACTTTCTAGTTTCTATTTTGTGAAATGCCTATCTATCTTTACATGTTTAGTTCGATTGTGTTATAACAAACTATGGGCAATATTGATGATACAATAATTCTCATAAGTTCTATTCATTTAAATTTTAAGTTTTCTAGTGTGATAATAAATTGTAAGTTTTCACGAATATTTTGAGCATTTGCTCTAGATTTATGATTTAACATTTAACTTTAAGACAATAGAATTTTCTTACTTTTTCATGTCATTAGGTAAATTTTCAATAATGTGTGATTTCCTAAAATGGGTCTTATATCTTGCATAATTATTATGAATATCTGTATAACTTTTAATTTATAGCATTTTATATTTTCTATAGATAATCTTTTGTTCATGATTTGATTTTAAACATTTGGAAATTCTAGAAGTAGCTTGAAAGTGGGATTTTTTTTAGTTTATGCATAAATTGACTCGTA